GAGCTCTTCAACAGCGGGTAATTAAACCACAAACTGCTAGTGTCAGCGTATTGACAGCGACAAGCAAACGTTCAAATTGATGGTGAAAACGAGATCAAACCGGTGCCATCTTTTTACATGCCCTTCTCCATCAACTTAGCTCCAACTTCTATTTTGGGGTCAAGTCAAGTTACTTAACGAAATTTGGAGAACGCGAGACGTCAATGCCGATGGCGATGAATTTCTAGACTTAGAATATTTCTAAGTGCTGAAATCAGCAGCAGGTTCCAACTTTGAGCCACCGCTGGACTTAGTTCCGAGCCGATCCATGGTATACTCCAAAAACGAAGTTTCTTGTACATAACATGAGCTTCAACTTTTATTTAATGTCCAACCTTAAAACAGGTGCAGAAGCTATAGTTCTACTTTGACCAAAGTAGGGTCACGATAAAGCTTAAATTATCCTTCGTGATCCATTGAAGCATTTTCTTGGCATTTGCTCAACATGAACCTTTCATGACTTTTGTTGTAGAGTTCATCTAGAGTCATTTGGGCATGGTTGCAAGATTTGGTTGATGATCGAGAATTCCATTCACTTTATAAAATAATTCAAGCAAGGACATAACTCGTCATTTCATGTGACTTCTTGATTCCAAACTTCACGAAACTTTTCCATGGATTAATATAGATGGGTATTGATGTGAGACACATGAAGATATTCCAATAACACCAGCCAAGCATATATCTTGAAAAGGGCCTATATGTAAAGCAAGGGTGCAATATCCAAGTTTAGGTTGGGGCTTATTTCCATAGGTTTGACCTTGGCACCTTCATCATCACTTAATATGCCATGTTTGAGCTCAAACCTATTGCTTAACTGGTGGCAAACACCTGGGGTGTTACACGGAGCCCCCGACCCAGAGGTCGGGCGAGGCGGGCCCCCAACCCAGAGGTCGGGCGAGGCGGATCCAGCAAGCACACCTAGGGGTCAATTGGAGCTATAGTCGCGCTCTTGACTGCTCGGATGAATCAATGTTGATGGCTATTAGCTCCTCCTCTTTAGGTACCCTAGTAATGGTCCCCGACAGTAGCCCCCGAGCCTACGGTCCGTAGGCTTTTCCTAACGGGAGGACTCTGGGGGCCTTGGCCTTCTTTTGTCGCCCACGGCGTGTCTTGGGGACGACGATTCCCTTTCGTCGTGATCGAACCCTTCAGGGGTATAGCCATGAGATTTGGTGGTGTAAGGAAAATAGACCCTAGGCCTATTTACTTTGGATTTTGGTGTTTGATGATCAAAGCAACCAAGTTGGACTAATGAATTTGCAAGTGATTGTTTTGTAGTTCAATAGAGTACAAGACGTGACTTGGACAAAGCCGACATGGTGATCCCACGATCAACACCATAAGCAAGACCCTAGAAGCACAAGAGAAGACCCAAGATATCAAGCAAAGTCCAAGCACGAAGATAGGAACCAAGCCGGACGTAAGATCGCGAAGAAACGAGCTCACAGAGGTGACCGAACGCAGCCCTTATAGGGACCAGACGTGTCCGATCAGTGGCTTGGCAATAGCAGGCGTCAGCAGCAGCGACCGAATGATGAAGACTGAAATTGATCGGACGCACCGATGGCACTATTCATCATCCTAGCAACACATTCAGTACTGACCGGACGCTGGTGGCTAATCGACCGGACGCAGGAACTGCAGCGTCCGATCGAGTCTAGAGAGGCTCCAAAGCGGCGAAGTTGCGATTGGACGCGTCCGGTGGCATGTGACCGAACGCCATCAGCGTCCGATCAGTTGATCATGCGCTCTCACGGTCGCGACGACTGGACGTGTCCAATTAGGACGAAAGCAGCGTCCGGTCAGTAGTAGAAAAGCGTGTTTCGTCCCCAACAGCTACTTTCTCGGTGGGGCTTATAAATAGACCCCCCAACCGGCCATTTGTAAAGTATGGAGCTGAGGAAACATACCAAGGGTGTTGATACACTATTTTAGTGATCTCTAGTTGCATAGTGCTTAGTGATTCATTAGAAGATTAGCGTAGGTGCTTTGGAAAGTGCTTAGGTTGATTAGACCACCGCTTATACGCTTGCTCTAGGTTTAGGCCTATTGTTTAGTGAGGTTTGCATACCTCTTACCATTCGGTGCTTGCGCACACCATTGTTGTACATCAGAGGGGCTTGTAGTCTTGCGAGATCACACCAATCGCATTTGTGGTGTGGCCGCCACCGTGTACCAGAGGGAACAAGGCCCGCGGCGTTTCGACCGGAAGCTTGATAGTGAAGACGGCGGGGAGCATCCAAGAGAGGCTTGCTGGGAGGCACGTCGGAGACCCACTTGCGCGTGGGGAAGGCCCGAGGCTATCCACGGAGTTATCCGACCGGGAACTTGGCCCTTGTGAGGGATCCCTTGCGAGGGGCTCCAACAAGGACTAGGAGGAAGCTTGCGTGCTTCTCGATATCTCTGTAAAAATACTAGAGTCGTCGATGGGAGTTTGCATATCTTTGCCTTGCTCTTTAGCTTCCGCATTTACATTGTTTGTATTACTCCTTTTGCGGTAGAGATAGCAACACAGATGCCATGTCGGGCGCGTGTTCGCCGCAGATGCCACGCCCCGGCGCTGTCAGCGGGTTGTGACATCCCATTCCATCCCGACGCTCGACTTGCCGAACCAGTGTGCTGGTCAGCGGCCGTACAGGGAGTATGCAGCATAGTGACCACGCGTCCGTTACTGTTGGTGATGTGAGTTCCCTGGAGTGACATATCGCGGGCACGGGTTATTTTGAGATGTGCCCGCACCCTACACGATGCGAGAAGTTTGCCCTTGGGTTGTACTTTCTGGCACATAGTGGTTGGCGGCGGTATGTGCTTCTGTCAGGAGCCGCGCCTGAGGGGTCGAGCGAGACGGAGCCCCCGACCCAGAGGCCAGGCGAGGCGGGGCCCCCAACCCAGAGGTCGGGCGAGGCGGAGCCCCCGGCCCAGAGGTCGGGCGAGGCCGAGCCCGCCCCCAGAGGCCGGGCGAGGCGGGGCCCCCGACCCAGTGGTCGGGCGAGGCGGAGCCCCCCCAGAGGTCGGGAGATGCGGAGCCCGCGCACCTAGGGGGCGGTTGGAGCTGTAGTCGCGCTCTTGACTGCTCGGATGAATCAATGTTTAGGACCATTAGCTCCTCCTCTTCGGGTACCATAGTATTGGTCCCCGACACCGACGTTTTTAGGGGCCCTTACGGTGGTAGCGGCGGCCGGCTAGGTCTTGGCGGGGGAGTTCCGCCGGAGCTGGAGAAGATGGCTACAGCCGAGCTCGTAGGAGTTGGAGAAGATGACGGCGGTGGGGAGCAGGGGCAGGGGGAGGAGGAGGAGGCCGCCGTGGGCGCGGTAGGGTCTCGCACGGAGCTCCGGTGAGACCCTGCCACGCCATGGTGGGGTGGCGGTGGTGGCAGTGCGTTGGGAGGAGGAAGAAGAGAGCTACGAGCCGTTGGATGACCATATCAAAGGTTCAGAAAAATCGGGTGAGTGCCGCCTAGATGAACTCTTTGAGAATGATGGACAGGGAATCAGGGATTCGAGATGGCCAATGAGATGAGTGTCATAGCCTAGAATTAATCGAACTACGACGTGAGCGAGCACTAAAACCATAGGGAGAGCACGGTTAGGGCACTTCCAATGCTACAAACTACATGTAGTTTCTATATCTATTAATTTATATATGCAATATATATAAAACCATGGTTCCAATGTAAAGTTTCTACAGAACAATTTTTTATCTAGTCACATATATTCTCTTTCTATTCTCTATCAATCACATCTCTTCATGTTTTGGTTCTCGTGTAGGCATGGTTTCTAATTTAAACCCGATTTCTATGATTTTTGCTCTCTTTTCTTAATAACTACCTTGCCACACCAGTAAAATGTTTATGTGACAGTACAATTAATATCTATAAAAACTATGATGGTTTATTAGGACCGCCCTTGCGTTGCTGGCCCAGTAAATTTTGGTTCGTCTACGTGGCAACCAGTTCGAGCCACAGGCCATGGCCAGAAGAGAAACTAGCATCACAAACCCAAACTCTTTGCCTAACAGAAAACTTCCTTGACGATATTTTTGCTATAAACGACAAACAACGACAGGACACGAAATGGAGGCCACGCCATTCTTTTAGGCCCATCGTCTATCTAGGGACAATTAGTTACCAAAACATAGGCGTTCAAAGAAAAAAACAACAACAACTGGTACTCGACGACAATGAATCCCAATTTGCGTTTTTTGATTAAAAAATTGCGTTTTTTTGGACACGTGAATTTGTTCATCAGCTGTGATTAATAATGTTTTTTAAGTGAAACATATACATCTATAATAAGCATAAGGATACTCCCTCCGTCCAATCACAAAACTCCATTTTGAAGATTAAGTTTCACTTAATTCATATAATAAAATAATATTAATATTAAAATATCTAAATAGATTTATTTAGGTGACCGGACTTCTCTGAAAAGATGTGCAGAACCATTTTAGAACCGAGGGAATACTACTAAAATATCGAAACAGATCAGAGCTCCAGCAGTGCACACAGAGCCTCAGAGGGCAGGGCACTCCCATTATCTGGGCACTTGCATATTTCCACCAAGGAAACCTGTGAAGAAACATGGACACAACGGGGACTTGATCATATGCCCAGCTTCAGTCTAACTGCAAATTGTGCAATCCCGTCTGCCTGCACAGAGTTTACATGTCCACCGTTGCATTTGCATACGGTACTTCACCTGGCACGATTTTTCGGTGCTGATGTGCCCTGGATTCTAATTTGCAGCCGGTGCACGATCAATGGAGCAACGAAGAGCGCGCTTGGAATTGCACCATTGCGGACATGGATATAACATCGCATCTACTCGACTAGCTACCTCGCCTACACATTCTCCGCCGCATTCCCCGTTCCTCACTGGTCACTGGGGGCAGAGCAGGATCAGCAAAAGAAGCATTGCCACCGGCTCTGTTCCTCCCTTCCTCTCTCTTTCCCTCTAGCTTCACCAGATGCTCCAAATGTCGTGGTCGAAGGCAGCCACCTCGGCGTCGCCGGCGTGGCCGCCGGCGCAGCGGAAGTCCTCCTCGACGAAGGGGAACCAGCCGAGCAGCTTCTCCTCGTCCACGCCCCACGTCCACCACGCCGCCGCCGCGTTCAGCCCGGCGTCGTCGAGGTCCCAGTCCACGGCGCGCGCGTCGTCCGCGTCTCCTCCCTCCCCGCCGCCGCCGACGCACACGTCCGGCACGGTCGGCGCCACCATCTCCGGCCCGCCGGGCGAAGACGCGGCTGAGCCAGCATTTGCTGCTGCTGCGGCGGCGGCGGCCGCCGCGGCGACGCGCGGACCCGCGGCGCCCGGCTTCGTCTTGGCGCCCGCACCCGCCGCCTTGGGCTGCCTCGGCTGCTTGGCCCGGCGCTGCGGCTTGGGGTTGGCGGCGGTGACGGTTGCGCTGGGGTCCTGTGGCTCCTCGACCTTGGGCTGCTGCGCCCTGGTTCGCTTCATGCCTCGCTGGCTGGCGCCTGCCGGTCCTCTGCTTCGGGGCGCTCTGCTCTTGAGGCGGGCGAGGTAGAGTGTGTGTGTGTCGTGGGACGGTGGGAGTGGAGCGCCGAGGCGTTTGGGCGCGCGGCCCTTTTGTAGGAGTAGAAGGCGGGTGGGGTCTCCGGTTCGCGCCAGGCTTGGGCTCGGCAGCACCCAGGAGCGGAGCGCGGCGAGGCAAGTCCGCAAGTGGGCTGTGCCCTGCCTGGTGTGGTGACCGGTGACTCGTGACCTGCCCCAGTGGTCGAGCGGGTTGGATCCAATCCAGACGCCAGAGGCCGCAGCCGCCGGGCAGCCGGTTCGCGTCGCGCGACCAGTTGGCGCGTCTGTTTCTCTTCTCGGGTTTCATGTGCAGGCCGACTGGGCGAGGAGAGACCCGGATCGTGATGGATGCGACTGCCAAAACTCATTGTCACGCATCGCTGTTGTCCTGTTGCTGCGTCAAGTTTTACGATCGGATGATTTGCTAGTACTCCTACTCTACACGAGATGTTTGTAGCAGCCGAGTAGTGACATTCCGCACCATTTGCGATTGAAAGAGCGACCGTGAGAGTGTGTGGTCCGGCTGGAATCCGGCGTGCCACGTTTCCGCCGCGCTGCCCGCGCAAGCCGGCCAGCTTGTGATGCTAGCTAGCACGTAGCCACGGGACGAGCATGGAACATGGGGCCGCGCGGGCGGCAGTCCGGATCCCTCCCAGCCCACCTCCTGCGTGCGATCACGTGGAAACGCCGGCGACTTGGGAAGGTGGGCGTGGGGGATCGCGTGCGCCCGCGCCGATCGCACGCCGACATCGTGAACCGCTCGTAACAACTCGAAGCACGCTGGCTCTCATAACCAGGTCGGCGCGGAATGATATGTGTGCATCGGAGGCTGCCTCGTGCTGTGATCTCCGCACGTGAGTACGGCCTCGTTTAGTTCCGCCCATAAAATGTACTCTCTATCAATATTTGACACATATACAGTATTAAATATAGATTAAAAAATAACTAATTATACAGTTTGTGCGACTAATTTACTAGATGAATCTTTTAAGCCTAATTAGTTCATGATTTGATAATATATTGCTACAGTAACACATGTGCAAATGGTGGATTACTAACGGATTCTGTAATTTATTTTTTATTAATATCTAAACACCCCGTACGACACTCCGTATAACACACGATGTGATATCCCAAACTTTACACCCTCAATTTAAACCAGGCCTACGTACTCAATGGCTGCAAGTGTTCCTCGGTATTTTAATCTCTTCGTACGAACGAGTACTATGGTATTGCGCCATGTTCGTTTGGCTTATAAATGGTACTTTTTCTGTCAACGAACAATATTTTTCTCTCATAACAAATCAACCTACAGTACTTTCATTCATGGCTTATCATCGAAGCGAACGTGGCGTCGATCGAAGAATCTGAGTACTCGTACACGGGTCTTCGACTTCGAGTGAAGACTGAAGACTGAAGAAGAAGCCGTCATCGATGTCGTAGTATATCCTCAGCCTGTTCGCTTGATCGTAAACGATCATAAATTTTTAGTCAGAACAGTATTTTTTTCTCACACCAAACCAGGCAGCAGTAAATAATCCACGGTTTAAACGACCTCCGAACAGGCTGCCTATTAGGAAAGCGGTTAGAGGCGTATTTAAGGGCCGACAGGGAGTGGCCGTATGTCGGCAAACCCCGGAATTAATTGCAAGACCTCACTCAAGTGTCAAGTGGCAGCTGTATGCAATGCAAGCGGCGCACGGCACGGCACGGCTCGGCAGGCAGCCCCCCAGCCAGCCTGCCGCTCTGACAGTCGGAGGCGGGGGAGAGGATTTGGGTGCGTGCGGGGCAGTTTGCGCTGGGTCCGGTGGTCGTTCGTTCGTTCCTGGCGCGCGGCAGCGGCAACTTGTTGGCTCGCTCGTGCCTGCCGGTGCCGGCCGAGCGCCGCTGCTGCCCGTAAGCCTCTGTCGGCCCACCAATTGGCAATTGCCGCCGCGGCGCAGCGCACGGGACAAGGGTCTCCGTCGCGTGTCGTGCTCGCCCACGCGACGTTGTCCGCCACCACAATGGCTGCTGCCTTTGCCCCGCGCGGTCCGAGATCTCATCGCTGCCGCTTTCCGGCGCGGCTGACGCTGACCGTGCACCGAGAGCTGTACGTTGTTCGATGCGTGCGGGCGGTCATGATCCCCGGCGGCACCGTGCCGGAGTCCAGTTTGACAGGTAAGGAGGATAGTGGTAGTAGAGGCCAACCGGTCCACGTGCGGCGGCGGCGGCGATCCCGTCGCATTGATCGGCCTACAAGCGGGATCATTGCGCTCGTGCCGGTGCCGACCACACTGGAGTCCGGAGGGCTGGGGAGCTCTGGATCTGGGCCAGGCCGCTCGCATACGGTTTGAAGCCCACCTGATTAATACGAATATAGGGCCCATGATAATTGTTTAGCAAGCCATAATCAAAGATGCCCATTGGGCCTCTGTGTGGGAACAAGAAAGCGTCGGGCCATCCAGATCTGGTTTCCAGCAGAGAGCGACACGTGTGGCGCCCAGCAGCACAGTACTCAGATGAAATTGACACGAAGTAGAGGCCGGTCATATACATCATCATCATCATTCATCATCGTCGTCGTTATTATTATTATTATCATCGTTGTTGCCTGCCTTTCTCGTGCCAGAATGCTATTAGAGCACAATATCAAATCCGTCGACGCAGATGGATGCCTGCAAATGCATGATCCATGTAAAACACAACACGCAGGCACAGGCAAAGATACGGAGTAGACGCCGACCGCCAACGAGGCAAAGGCAGCAAAGGCAAAGGCAAAGGCGTCTTGTTCCAATCCAAGTAGCAGTGCAGTTGCCGCTCATCATCTGCAGCGGCACCACCACCACGCGCGGCACGTTTGGGTGTCTGTCTAGAGGGAATGGCGCCTGCCTGCGGTGTCCCTGTCACGGGTGCCCGCGACATTCCTCCCCGTGCGTGTCGTACAGGGAGCTTTGTTCGCCTTGCCGGCCCGCTTTCCTCCTCTGCCTGTCCCTGTGCCTGTGCCGACGATGATTCCCGCTCCAGCTTTTTCGTCGCAACTTGTTGTCTCGATGGATCCAAGCATCATCGTTTGTCCGTACGTTACGAGCGCATGACAGGGACTTGTTTTTTCTTAGAGCATAAATAAACAAATAGTATATGATGCTGCTAATCGCTTGTTGCAGGCGTGTTACGTGTGACTGAGCAACGCGCTAAAGGATAAACACATGGACAGAGGCAGGGAAGGGTTGGTTTACCAGCTCCTGTCGATTAATTTGGTTTCTCTGGAGACCAAATTGAATCTGGCTTTTGGCTCTTTTTCCCCCTGATTTTCGCGATGGGTCGCTTTGCTTTGCGACGGACACTTGTTTTTCTCTGAAGAAACTGGACGAGGGTTGCAGTTGCAGCGTCCGGAGTCTGCTCAGGTCAGGTTCAGGCCGATGGGCGATGGCGATTGCAAAGCTGATGCTGCCACTCAGCTCATCCTAGTCTTGGCGCGTGCTACGCCTGTAATAGTAGGCTGTAGCCAGAAATGCCAGATTGATGGTTAGTGCCATGAATTACTCTAGTAATAGCTTTTTGACCGTGACGTTAATAGCAGCTGATGAGGAAACATTGCTGCTTTATTTACACCTACTAGTACCTACTCCTATAGACTACTGATTTTCTGAAGATATGGCCAGCGTCAGTGAGGACATGGATGGCTGTCCGATGTGTGGGTGTCGTTGCATTTCTTTCGTATAGCTAGCTCTCTTCAAGATAAGTTTCAGTTGGAAAAGAAGATTGAAAAGCCAAGGGTGCGCGTTAAGTCTCACTGTCGCTAAATCGCCGTGATCAGATTCGCGTCGTACTCAGACGGTGTAAACAGGCAGGACCCGTGAACGAACCGATTGAGAGAAACTGTCGCTGAAAGGATTCCGACGTCTGTATATCTGCTTTTTCAGAAATAAATGGAAAAAGGTGAACAATACATTTATTTCGATTCTCACTTTTTCTTTCTGTATGGATATGGAGTAAATAAATACCTTTCGCCAATCGCCACTGCTGTCCCTGTCTTTGTAGCACAAAAATCAACACGTATGCTACGGAGCAAGAACAAAGCAGTTCCCGCGCGGCCCTAGTAGCTAGAAAAGGAAAAGGCGGGGCACTATAGTAGAAAAAGAAGCCATCCGGGGCCAGTTCCGCGAGCATCATCACACGGGAACAAAGTGCTAGACCGTGCGTGCAGCCGTGGGCGGGGCATCTCTTTCCTTTCGATGCAATGCAACCGCGCGGCATCTCCCTGCTTCCTCCTCCTTCCTAGTCCTGATCCACAGCAAGAAGCAGATGGTGGTGCAGCAAACCACCAGTGTGCGAAACGCAGGCGGCCACCGACAGTGACATGGTTAAAGGCAGGGCCGTCGCGTGATTCCCCCGGCGGCCAGCGACCAGACAGAGCTGCTTGCTACCGTGCTCATGCAAAGCGTTGTTGTTGTTCCACAAGGACTTTACCTAACCTTGGAGCATCAGAGAGAGTGCAGCGAAGTCAGTTGGGGAACTCAAAGGAAACTGGACTGGTATTGGCGCGACGTCCGCTTTTCCTTGTGCCAAGTTCACATGAAACTGCAGAGAGGCTCCAAGCCAAGCCGCTGCACTTTCTGGAGTAGTTTCCAGTTCCAGGACTGATTACACAAAAGTGAAAGGACATGCCATGTTGGGAGGCAAAAGTGGCAAAATTTCAGGGCCATGCTTCTGGAACTAGACTTTGATTCGGCTTTCTATCTTGTTCAGATTCGTATTGGATCATTGGATGTGCACCACCGCACCAGCACCTGCAATTCCCACGCACTAACCTTGATGGAGGCGGCTTCCGGAAGATTTGACATGTAAACAAATAAAGATATGGTCTTGTTAACGTTATACTAGTGTGTTTAGTCCTGTACTACTCCTGGCTTCATTTTTTTCATATCAAAGGCAACGCCTAA